GTTCAAATCACCAGGACTGGATGGATTACACCCCAGGGTTCTGAAGGAACTGGCAGACGAGATCTCAGAACCACNAACCATTTGTCTGAAATAATATAGGGCTTCCTACCTAAGCCCAGAATATGTTTAAAAAGTCAATATGATGATCATGAAGATGTGTGCACATTACACACACAAAAAATCATTTTTTCTGTATGCATTACACCTAAATTCAGTGTATTATCCCTTCTCCCTCTATCATGGTACCAAAAAGAGAGAGAATGGCACCAGGAAGATTTTGTAAAAAGGCTTGTTCCAGAATGAATCCAGGAAGAATAACAAACTATCAAAAGCCTTGTTTTTCTCTCTTGGCCAGAACATGGGTTGGTAGTCCCTGTGAATTCCCCCAATTAAATTGAAATGTTAAAATAGCCAACATCCCATGAAATCAACAATTCACATGAGGGGTTGTCCAGGGGTGTAAATACAACTGGCAACATAGTGTCCAGTTTTTGAAATGTTTGTCCCCTCTAGTCCAGACCAACCATATTTTAAATGTGTAGTTTCAGTTTTTTGTCTCTTTACTCTTGTGTAGCTGATAGAAACAATCAAATGGAACACTTGACTATTTAGTGCTACTTCCACTCTCCCCCATCCCCGAAGATTTTTTCTTCTGCTTTTGACTACATTCTACTGACATCCTGTTAATTGTTTCCTCTTCTCAGACTGCTCTCTTCCTCCAAAGATGGTGGCGGGGTACGCTGGTCCGGCGTTCTCTTTTTTTTGCCAGTGTGTGTGCAATATCAATCCAGAGGTGGTGGCGCCAACGTGTCTTTCAGCTCAAAGAGGAGAGAAGGATTAGGGCCTTGATGATGTATGTTTGGCCTGAGAAGTCGACCGTCCTCTTGCAGTCAAAGTTAAGGATGTGGCTTATAAAAACTCAGTTCAAGAAGTATCAAAAGGCAGCCCAGGTTATTCAAAACAACTGGCGGAATTACGTTCTTCAGCAGGAGTTCAGCAACTACTCACTCAACAGCCTGGTTTATGATGGCATAGATTTGAATATTGACATTATTGTTGATTAACAAGAACTCAGGAACAAAGGAGAAAAGTATTTGTAGAATGCAGCTCCAACAAACAAACAAACAAACAAATAAATAAATGTCATTATGTTTTGAGCAAGGTGACCAGAAAGCAAAGCCCAGTCACCGTCCCTGGGATGAAACAAACAAACTGGAATGGGTTGGTAAAACACATTTTTAACACCAAAATTTATTTGGAATGCTTGGAATGGAAAGCCAGAGTTTGTAGAGTGTTTATAAAAGCAGCTTGAAACAGTGAGACACACATATTTGTTTGTTTGTTTGTTTGTT